CTTGCTGTAAACTTTTCCCTATATTGAATGATACATTTGAAGTGAGAGGTTTGCCACTGGATTAATACCAGACATATTTTACTACCTTGCCGTCGTATTGATTTAGCCATAAAACGACATAGCATTTCGGAATGATTTTTGTAAACACCAATTATTTTTCAATAAGACGAAATACCATTTGGAATGAGTAATAGTTTTTTTGAAATAACGAAAACAGATTTCGTTAAAACAATATAAGTGTGAAGCATGCAAAAAAGGGAATACATATGGATCGTGTAATTCCATTTCTGGTTCATAATTTCGTTTCGTTGAATATAAAGATAAACGGTAATATCAATAAAAATCTGGGATTGGATGTTTTGTGGTGTATTTACGATTTTAGCTGGCTCTCGTAGAAAATAATAAACGTGGTAATCTTGTAGTTTGATACCATGTATATCATTATTGTACTTTTCATTTAATAGATATAACTTTCCAGTTTCAAATTCTTTAGTTGATTTCGTTGTTTAAATGATTTACAATTTGATAATACACCAGACATATCAAGACATGAACACATTCATTCATTTTTTATCAGTAAATATATATCTATATGTAAGTCGCACAAAGCACATTATGTTTGAAAACATCTTATCTAGATTTACTTAAAAGCACCCTAATTGTGTTGTTCGTAATCTGGTGTTAGTTAACTGAACAACAAAAAAGGTCTCAGATCGAAAAAAAATACTTTACAAAAGTTCATGCATGAACGGTATAACTGCCATACAATGTGACACTTGTTACTTTTCCTGAGTGGCATTATATTCACAGTACATTAAATTCGCATCTCTTGCATGACGGAGCTATGATGAATATACAGAGATATATGAAATACTTTTACAGATGCAATTACGTTCGCAATGTGTTGATAGACTTTCAGATAACGTTTCCACCCCCTATTAAACATCAAACAAGCGATTATTTCTCATAACCTATCTTTTGACACGTATAAAGAGTCTTTTGTTCTCATCTTATAACCTTTAGCACTTTAGGAAGGATGTGTTGCTGGAACGTTCGAAATCAAAGGTACTCAAACTATCACGATAAATACTGAAATCCCCATCTTCGTGTCGTGAAACTAAGTTGCCTTGGCTAGCGAAGAAGTGAAATCCCCGACTCTGAAACAGGGAAGAATCATAGTCAAACACTGTTAGTCCCCCACATCTGAAACGATTAAAGTATTGTTGAAATAAATAAAATAATTTTGTACATATGAAATACATTATTCTGTCTGTAAAGCTATATTAATGTTAAATTAGTGAAAAGAATGATACGTGTTTCACACAATACAGTTGCAAACGCGTAGGATTTTTTAATTTACAGACCTGAACAATCAAATGTATTTGATGAATATGAATATATTCTATTTTACCGATGTGCATCAATGTCTTTGTAACAAATAACACTACGATAAAATCCGTTTGTTAACATTGTTGGTAGATTGACTATTCATCAGCTCATTGAAATGTATCATAATTTATGAGTCGATCTACAGCTGACCCCGACAATCCGGACACCTATCTCCTAGAATCCCGGACAATTCATTGAAAGTCTGCTCAAATTCAATAGTAATGTTTGATAAAAAAATATGTAATAAACAACGCTCTCTGAATACGATATGTAAAACATTCAGTGTATTTACTTGTGTTTTGACACAATTCTGATGCTATTACCACAATGAATAAGACGAGATTTGTCGTCTGGAACTGAAACGTATAATACGGCATTTTCTGGAACTATTCTATTTTTAGAATAAAGTGACTGAATTAAGTTAACACCTGCGCGCGAGATACCATAGAATTGAAAGGAATGAAATACTGTAATTTTAAAAGTTGAAATATGTTTTATCTCTCATTTCACTGTCGTATGCATCACTGATATCACGAAAATCTGTGTCGTGTTTTTTTCTACATATACCAGTATATATGTTAACTATGCAGATGTTTACGAGATAATAACCCATCATGATTTATCACAATTTACTTCGTTTTTCTATTATTTACACTGCACATGTATATCAAGTAGCGGTACTAAGATTGTGATCGGTATAGTTAATGCGCTCACTGCAATTTTAATGTACACGAGACGTTCATTCACCAGTCCATAGCTTCAAAATGTATTTAGTATGAAAATATTTGAGCATTGGTGGAAAAAATGATATTTTACGAAGAAAAAAATCCCTATTAAGAAAAACAAAATTAGTATTTTCAATATATATAGTACACACATTTATGACGAATATAACAGCATCAAACCAGAAATACATATATGTGCCTGAGATTCTATGTCAAATGGTGGATGAATGCAGTGATATAAGTTTCGGACCTCAAGGGCTTTGTCGTAAAGTGACAAATAGTCTCAAATGATTTTATCTGTTTTTGATTTACATGGTCATGAAACGAAACGTACAGTTTAATCAACGGAATGTAATGTTTAGTATTTAGAAAAAATAATCATTGAGTGTTCCTAGGAGATAGTTGTGTACGAAGGAAATTGTTGGTTATTTGGAGTTAACTTTCTTTCCTTACGATGTCTTTGACTTAACAAAAGAAATGACAAAGTATATATGACTTACGCTTGGTTGATATTCCAGTAAGAGGTGACATTTTCACTTAATATTGGTGTTGATTCAAGTAGTAGACCTATAAAACCTTACAAAATATCAATGGATGTGATAATTTAAAACACTTTGGTGGGTTGAGGTGATGTTTTAAGTCAAAATAATTTCAGCACAAATAGCTGGAGTGATATATCTGATACATAGATGTAATTTTACCTACAGCAACCAGGAAATATATCAAAATACTAAACCAGTCCTTAATGTGTTGTTTAAAAAGATATTTCAACATTATATACCAGCCGTAAGAAGCTTTTCAAAATTAATCAAATATGATAATCAAAATATGCTGTAGACCAATGAGATAGAATTGGTTAAATACGTACGGATAATGTAGGCGATCCCATATCCAAAATATGTACACATAACGGTAATAGATGTGGCCGTGGCACGTTCTTTTGGTGGAAACCACGCTGCTGACATGGCGACTGGACCACTGTATGCAATCCCCATTCCACTACCGCCACAAACAGTGTTTAGGTTTTTTTTCTCTGTGTTTATACATATTTTGTTTATATCACGCCATTTCGACACTAATTAGCATCATCATTGAATTTTCTTATTTATCTTTATATAACATCACGTGATTCAGCACGAGTCTGAGCTGTAGTAGCAGCTCTATACATACACATATTACTTTGATTTGTAAGTGGGGGAAGGTCATTTGCATATGGAATAAACAATATTGGTCACCATTTTGAACCCTGTGGGACCTGCATTGAAACGGGGAGAGAATCACTCAGTGCTCTTGAAACTTAAAAGTTGAAATAAACTCTTCGACAAATTTTAAAAAATACTTGACAGTTTTCGGGGTACACCCGTAAAATTCAAATCTGAAATGTAAAATGGAGTGATTTACAAGATGAATGCCTTACGGAGATCCAAAAATAGAACACCGGTTAACAACCCTTTGTTTACGACATCATACCATACATTTGTAGTTTAAATAAGTGCAGTCTGGCACGAGTGCTTGGATCTGAAGTCTTATGGTTATCTGTAAATCAAATTGTGAGTTGTCAAACAAATAATGAAGATGAATGTGTTTTTCTAAAACAAGCAATACTGAAATCGGTAAGTACTTTCACAAAAACTCTATTTTACGCTTACTTTAGCACACTTCACGTTTTCTGTATCTATACAAGCATTTAATAGTTAACAAACAACTGGGTCAATAGACTTAACACTGATGTTTTTTTAAATAATAAATATTGTCTAGCCTTGTGGCTTGATTGACATTTAAGTTTAATAAAAAAAAAACTTCCCTGTAAATTTTTTTTATAAATTTAGGAATGCCAAAAATGTGCCCCTCCAATTTTTCATATGTAAATGTGACAAAATAATTCTCAATCGTTGATTAAATAGTGCAAATATAATGTCATTGTAAGTGTAAGTTTTTTTACAAATACAAAAGCTAAAATTTAACTTACGGGTAAATGTGCGATTTTTTCTAAATCTCCAGTAGACAACGGGGAGTTAAAATACAGTAATACATAAATAATTATGGTGATGTAAAAAAAATCAATTTTTAGAAATAACCCAATTATAATCAATGTTATTACTTGATAACCGGAATGGTTTTGTTATTAAACTGTAACTGAAATCGAAGTAGAACAGTATTTTTCACACTGAACATTATTCTATGATTTTCATCTCAACATCAAAACAGGAATGTACACACACACACACACACACCCTCACATACACACACATATCATCAAAATCTCTCAGTTGATTTTATCTTACATGTAATTGTGAATTTCCTTTCTTCCAAGCTTTAGGTATTCTGTCAGTCTAGGTCATATTTATTTTGTCTGTTTAGTATTTTATGCATTATAAGTGTGATTGTAGACTGGATATTGAGTTCCGGTTTGGCCTATTTCGATTAAAACCGTCGTACTGAAATTATTCCTTTATAACAGTCTACCTGCAGATGTAGAATTTACATAAAAGAAAGTCTTACTGGATGGTTGTGTGAGAGTATTTGTTTTCATTATTTTCACATCATTTAATTGTTAAATGGTTTAGATTCCATTATAGGGAATCACAGGATATTGATTACCGAAGGATGACTCCTTATTCGGGTATATCATTATGTCAATATACATGCCTTGGTCACGTGGTATGATTAAGCCCTTAAAACATTTAAATTTCAAATACTATTGAGAAGGAGAATATCAAATGTAATTGCATGAGATATTCCTTGAAAGTTTTTTCCCAAATGTTTCTCAGATAAAAGCAATCCGCTTTAATGCAAGGGAAATAACTCCTATGAAATATTAAGAACTCTTTTATATCAGAGGATAAGAACAGTTGAGATCTCCATAGCGATCACATTAGAAACAAAATGGCGTCGAACGGGGAGACGGAGAAATACTACCTTGAAAGTATCCTTTGTTTACATTGTTTTTCCCTTTTACTTCCACAGAATAATGTTGATGAATACGACTTATCTGTTATAGAATGAATTTCCATGTTGTCATATGGCCTGTGGCACTGAACGTGATATTTTAACCAGTAACCCAGTCGACGTTAGGAGAGGATGGAAACATTTACAATATAAATCAGGTTAGATTAAGTGAAGTTTATTATCGGTACATGTTCATCTGACATCCTTTACAACGGTCTCAAATATACAATATTAACAAGAATTATATGAACTCAAACATATTGATATACAGGTAAGTCATAATTTTTTTTTTTAAATGTAACCACTGACAATGGCATATACACACTATAATTGATCAAAACACATTCAGTATTGTTTGTCATAACCATACATTATTTGTGAAAAAAAGAAGAGAATATCACATGCATGTAGCCTTTGTGTTGTGTAGGCCTAATTCATTTAAAATTCAATAAACTATACATTGTACAGCGTAAACCAATGGACAGCCACTATAATTAAATAGCCATGCACAGGTCTGTCTGTAGAAATGTACTCATATGTTGTTGGGTTTTCGTATGACAAAGGATTAATTATTATCAATGGCAAAACTGAATACTAGTATGGTTTATGAATTTTTTTAAGATGGCAACGTATTTAAAAAAAAAACGATTGTTTTTTTGCAGATGTTTATCATATTATAATGAAATGTATGAAATAATGGTGTTAACATCTAAAGAAACTTTATTATTTTACAACAATTGTGAAATAAGCTGTAAGTTTATATTGATCACTTGTGTTGGCCTGGATGGAAGTATGCGAGGGGTCTTACTGTGGGAGGAGACCACAATGGTCAGGTAGGCGACCCAATTTCTTTTCATGTTTGTGCAGGGAATCAAGCCCCGGACACCTAGGTGAAAGGTGAGTGTGTTACCACTGCACCACCAGACCACCCAATTTTGACTTTCCTTAGTCCGAAGGGTTTTAATTATTTCTTGACCATTTTGTTCTTGTCTTGGTCATGGTATGCTAACTCATAAATTGGCCATCAAAATATTGTGCTTTCATAGAGGGAGGATTTCTGACTATCAACCAAGATTAAGACAGAAATAAAATTATAGCTACGGCATAGGGAGTAAGAACCATTTAGACTAGGGTTAACTGTACACCAATGTGTCAGGAATTCAGAGGATTTTGAGAGGACATTTTGGAGTTGTAGTGTATGCTAGAAAATGCAAGGAATTCCCAACTCATTTAATATCTTGACTGCAGCTTTGTCTGTAAAATCAACTCAAAAAGGGGAAAAGTATGAATGTTCAGTATGGTGTATAGTTTGTTGAGCTATAATCCTTAACCAGTAACACAGAGGAGAAAATAGCGGTAGACTCTGATGAGGAGTATGCGTATGAGGAAGTTCCAGTAGATGAAGACTTCTTGGCAGCTGGTAAGTTATTACAATTAAGACCTATTTTGATTATAAATTAAACTAAACTCTAAAGTTACTTAGACAGAGTGTCAATACACTGATTCTGACACCTTACTGAAGAAGATATAGGTAAGCTTCATCAAAATATTTCAAAATTTATCATCCACATTCTATTCCTAGGAATTATTCACAGTACAAACTATATAGTATGATGAAAAAAGTATATTTTTATAACGTTTGATATGATATTCTGGGCATGGCTTCTTGAAATTAATTTAACTCGCATGTATTTTTATTGCTAAATTAACATATAAGTGTCTTATCACCAAAAGATAAGATTCAATTTTTGGTATATTCAAATGGACACCTGTTTTGTAATAATGTTGATTGATTTGTGGAAATCATCAATTCTTTTCAGATCTTAATGAAGATTTGAACCTAGCAGTGCAAACAATCCAGGATGTTGAAGAAGACAAGCAGGCTGGGGTGAGTAAAGTGATCTGTTTCAAATATTGTGTGGTATCTGAATAAAAATATTGTTGTTGGTGGTTTCATCATAAATATCTAAATTATACATGTTGGTGTAATGAACTTTATATGTCACAAAGTTCTTTTTTATTATTCTTAGGTATGCTTTCAAAATTGAATGAGCAATAAATTACTTTTAATTAACGTCTACATCATTCAAATTGCTTCTGTAATGCATGGCAATGGATATAATTCAATTCCTCTAGTTTTTGAATTGTTCCATAGATCAAGAAGGAGCCTGTCCCTCGTGCCTCTGTTACCAAACGAGAAGAGGTCGTGGATGACTATGTACGAAACTTTTTGGTACGGATGGGAATGAACAGGACACTGGATTGCTTTCAAACTGAATGGTATGACAGTAAAATACATTTCCTTTCTTATCATTAGAAATCCCATTTTTTAGTGTTCATGCTTTTCATCAGTTTTTTGGAAAATATATCTCCTACTGTTCGTAAATCATGTCAAATTTTGTCTGCAAACACTATACTTCATCAATCTGGATTCCAGCTTCAGACTTTTGTCTGCATCTAAAAGGTTTAGTTCTGAAGGAAACATACTCTTATATCAACAGCTGATTAAATAAAGAAATTTGTAAGGAATGAAAATATGTAATGGAATAGACATTTCAAATTTGGTTCTTGATTATGTTGTCCCATATTCCAAATTATTCTGATCAACTTTTTTTATGTCGGTCTGGAGTCAATGAACATCGTTCATCGTCTCCAGACCTATATAAAATTAGATGACAGACTATCATAATAATTCAAACTACCTGTTTTTATGATAGTAAATGACACTAACAAAGGTTTACATGTTTCAGACACATGTAGCTCTTTAGTTTACAGACATAATGTTAATCAGTCAGGTATCTCATTATTACAGGTATGAACTCCAGCAAAGAGGCATACTGCACGAGGAGGATGTAGGTGTAGTACCTGACATTTATCTCCGTAACCAGGACCTCGACAATGAAGTCAAGTTCCTGAAACAGGAGGTCACCAAATACAAAGAGGCAGCCATGTATGTGTACATAACATTCTATATATATTAATATTGACTGAAAATCAGGATAGGTTATTACAGCATGATGCAATGCATTTTCTTGTCATTTTTCTGAACAGTAGTACGAATGGGTGGGCTTATTACCATCTATGGCCATTTGGCAGTTAAATATTTACAGTGAGAATCAAGTTCATTAAGGTGTCAAAAATATATGAAATGCAATTTGAAGTATTTTCTTTCTGTGATTGATTCAGTATTTGAATTTTTGCTAGCTTTGTCAAAAATTAACACTTCATTCAGACAGAAGTTACTATGTAAATGCTTTTAGAGTAAAACTAGATAGAAAAGCATAATGCATTTGACTTGAAATGATTGTTTGGTAATTCATTGCAGGAAAGCCAAGGAAACATATGTGAAACTGAGAAAGGAAAGAGACTACCATAGAATGCACCACAAGCGGGTGGTTCAGGAGAAAAATAAACTCATCAGTGATGTTAAAAGGTATTTAGTAATAATGGAATCTTAACAAAAAGGGTTACAATGATTCAATGTTGATGTTACTTTTCTATTTAAGTGGAAAGAAATACAATTTTTGAATTACATATTATGTTAAACTTATCAATCTATCGCATTGGTCTATGACTGCTTATATGTATTGTCAGATTGGATCAATCTGATACTATGAATTTAAAATGTCATTTGTACCTTATCTTTCACTCGTGTGTTTTGATTGTACATTGATCTACACACTTGTGTTTAACTGTCAAGGTAAATTAGGCACTTGGGGAAAAGCATCTTTGTTATCTTTATTGTTGAGTTATTTATCTTATTTGGTATAATGAAATTGTAGTTTATCAAGGGAGACACATTTCTTTGTTTCCCTGAAAATTAATCATATTCTGTAAAGATTTCTTATGTAATACAATTCAGTTTGAGATATGGATATTAAGGATTATACATGGTAGAGACTACAACTTAGGATAGAACAACCAAAGATAATCAGCTAACACAAGTATGGAACTTCACTTCATTCTTGGTCCAATTTACCTTTGGAGTGACATGTGGATGGGTTTGGGAGGGGTTTAGGGGATGTGGTAATGTGTTTAGAAATTGACTTGCTGATTGAAACTTTTACAGGGATTGCATACTTTTTCATTTTGTTTTTTGTTAGGTATCTTGTTAACATATATGGAAATTAAAATAACTATGACAAATACCATGTCAGTAATCTACTGTCCATTCATTTTGACATCTCTGTCTGTGACGACACAACCAGCTGGGCTTAGATAGGCTGTTCGACTTGTCTAGGTTAATTCAAAGAAGTTCTACTGTAATTGTAGGCTGAAGCGTCACTACGCCCAGTACGAGCCTACTCTTCAACAACTGAAAAAGAAATATGAGGTGGCTATGAAGGAGAAGATGTTATCTAAACTGGAGAAGGACCGAGCTGTTGGTCAGGTCACAGGATTACAGAGCACACTTAAGTCCATGGAGTCCTTCAAAGGTGGCTCAGCTAAGCAGAGCAATGGTACTAACAACACGGCATTCTTTTTTCCAATCACAATATGTTTTATTAATAACTTGAATTGTGTTATCCCTTTACATCCTGTCTTCTTGATCCTCTCCACTACAATGATCTCCCCTCACAGCTACCCCTCTCCCCTCGTCATCATCTCCTTATTGTGCAAACATGCAGTGATATTCCCTCACAGTCTGTCCCCTTCTCCTCACCACCATTTTCTTATTGTACAAACAGTCAATGACGGCTCCTTATAGTCAGCCCCATTCTCTTGAGCTACAGTCCTCAAACTGATCAGGTCCAATACTGAAAGAATACAGGTGTGATGCTTGTCATTTTAAATTTTAGAACAACTTAGAACAAATTAACTTCTATTCATTATACATACATAGCATATATAGTGTACCTTAAAATTCCTGGAGAAGTTCCGTATTGAAAATCTGAAACTCATTATTTGTGCCTTTACTAAGTGGAATCATAATGTGAACAATCTCCAAAAATAGCTTCCTCTGCTTTTGTTATCAAATAGATTCTTCGATTTTGTAGGTAAGATGGGATCAGGAGAACGACGTAACTGGCCCGTGGACAATGAGGGGCGCGGTCCTACTCAGAAAGCCCTGGCCCAGGAGTACAGTCGTACCTCATTACAAGATGTACAGAAAATTCCTGAGGACTACAAGCGCCATCCAGATGTATGTACATGTTCCTCAGTAATATTTTTGTTTTGGTTTAAATTACTGTATACACATTGATATTTTCTATCAGTATTTTGTGTTTAATATTCCTTATTTCCAGTTGCATGTAAACACCAGATAAGATGTAGAGTAGAAATGTTTCACAAATGAATTATTCACTTTTAAAATGTTCATGTGAGAATTTTGTAAGTAACAGATACAGTTAACTGGATAAAGTAAAGAGACGATACAACTTTTGTTAAGTTTTGTTATATTTGATCATTGTAGGACTCGGTGTTCCCTGCTGACACAGGGGTTAACCCTCTCCTGGCACAGATTAAGGCTCCAACTGGTCACCTGTCAAGGGCTGGAGGTTTCCGACTTTCCAACACATTCCAGGCACATTCCCATCCCATCAGCGAGTAAGATATTGTATTACCCTTCCTTGAAATAGCAGTGAAATATGCATATTCACATGCTAAATTGCTATGTATTCTGAGGCTATGTGACTACAGTATCAAAGATACATGATTGTGAGCCCTTCTCTGTTCAGCTAAGATTTTCGTCTGTTTCATTATGGTATTGTTTCTTTACCTCCCATTTATACTTTCTGTGATGAAATTCCTAAAGTCCTGTGATATAACCAGGTCCCTTAAGGGATTGTGGTCCAAGTTGATTAATGGTATGAGTGTTGCAGCGTGAAAACATGATTTTTAGAGGCTAACTATATTGAATATGCTGATCAGTTATGTGAAATCAGAAGAGTAATCGTGCATTAATCACAAAAAAAAACTGTTTAAATGTTGTTAACACTTGACATACATGTATGTGGTGTAATTTTATAGTCATATTAATTGATAACCTGTAATGTGCCATTCCAGAACAGAATTTAAAGAGGAAGGTTATAAAGTTTTACATACATATTGTGTTTTCCACAGTGTTGCTCTACACCCACGGAAACAGATCCTGGCTACCAGTAGTGATGACCATACATGGAAGATGTGGGCAGTACCAAGCGGTGACATCATCATGACAGGAGAAGGCCACACAGACTGGGTGTCAGGTTGTGACTTCCATCCCTCGTAAGTATAGAACGTATAGAATCAGAAAACTATATCCTTATTGGTAATGTGAAGAATCTTAAAGATATCACACTATCTGTGACCATAGTACACATGTAATTGTGTCGAATTAATTCACCTGTTCTGTTTCAATTAGTTTATAAACATTTGATAGCCCTATACTCAATCATATGTTATTACATTGAAGTCATTCTGTATATACAATTAAGGTAAAGTTGAACCCTGAAGGTAAATATTTCTCATGCTTATACACCTGTATTAATAACAAATCCTTCATTCTACAATCTGATAACTTCAAAAATTTTCCAATGCCCAATAATTACTATTTCACATATCAAAGTTGTTGATATAATTCTGTGATATGAATTTTCAAGGCAACTTTTTGGCCAGACATCAGTTCTGATATACATATACCTCTATGTAATATGTACAAGTACATTAACGGTATTTGGTGTTTTGTTGACTTTTTTCAGTGGATCAAAATTAGCAACATCCAGCGGTGACTCTACAGTGAAAATTTGGGACTTCTCCAAGGCAGAATGTGTACATACCTTCACTGATCACACACATGCAGGTATCTTAACTAAACTATTGATATTTAAAGAGTTTTTCTTTTTTCTTTTACTAACAGTCAGATAAATGACTGCATATAATTATGCTAATATAAACCAGATCTATATTGATTTTCAACAAATTATTTGTTTTATATAAGAAAATATATTGTTTACCAGAATTTTACCTTGTCTTTGTGCTAAAGTTGAAAAGAAAGACGACATTTTCTTTTTCTCAAGATAGATCTTTATAGCACTGTTTGATTTTACCATTTTACAGTATGGGGATGTTCATGGCACACCTGTGGTGACTTCTTGGCTTCCTGTTCTATGGATAACACATCCAAGGTGTGGGATCTTAATAGCCTGCGCTGTCGCTACACCTTGAGAGGCCATGCAGATTCAGTAAATAGTATAGAATTCCTCCCCTACTCCAACACTCTACTCACATGTTCTGCTGATAAAACTATATCTCTGTGGGATGCCAGAACGGTAAGCTATATATACTTATCCGAGTCCTAAATACTTATCTTTTGTTGAAAAAAATACTCTTTTTTTTTTTAAATTACTGAGTTCCAAGGCTGTAATATTTTACAGTCAGTAATATTTAACATACGAGTGTCCAATAAGATTTACATTAAGAAAAATGTATGTGTATCATAAGTTGAATGGTAGCAGGAGAATATTTGTGGTATATTTAGTAATAATTATTTGACTGCAGTAATATGTACAGCTTATAATTCAAATTTCCTACACATAGTGGGATTCTGGACACTAATATCAAATGCAACATAATGTGTTTAATTTATTCACAGAAAGATCAATTTAGTATTAAGTTATATCTGTTCTTGTATCATTTATCTCCCCTTGTTTGAAAACTGTGTATTTTTCCATTGTAGGGTCTTTGTGCACAGACCTTTTATGGACATATGCATTCTGTTAATTATGCTTCATTCAACCTCAGAGTAAGTATTTCATAGAGGTTTGAAAAAAGAATGTTTAACTTCATCTTGAAATCCTAAACTTTTTACAACGTAATATTGAAGATGTTAGATTTGTAAATAAACTTATTTCTTACATCATGTATTTTTTGGTGATAATGTTTATAATTGTAGCACCTCTTGCTCAGAAAACATTGTGTTAAAATACGATTTCACTAAATGCCTTTTCTGTATGTTTATATAACAATTATTTTGGATGCACAAATTCTTCAGGGCATTGATATGCCCAAAACTTATGCCACATATACCCTTAGAATTAATTGTACCAAATAATGTCTACAGTCAATACATGTTATTGTTTTTCTGTTTCCTCAATTAAATCATTCCCAGATTTTGATATTTGGGAAAGATTACTGTAGACATTTACTGTCTATATTGATTGTGCCTCAAGTGATGATTGAAACATAAAGGAATTAATCCTACATGTAGTTGAGATTTTGCTAGATTTTATGAGATGAGTGGGTATAATGGAATAAGTGTTATATGAGATTAATGGCTGTTATTAAGATTTGTTTAAGTCAAATCATCATTATATTTATGTCTTAAATCATCGCTATGGTTATATTCTAATGACTTTGTGTTACAGGGAGATACAGTAGGTTCCTGTGATTCATACGGAATTGTTAAATTATGGGATATACGTGCTGTTGCTCCAATGGTCAGTTTTGACACTGGACCACACCCAGCCAACAGAGTGTCGTTTGACCCTTCAGGTACTTAAGGAAGCAAATTGCATGCTTATCACTTGAGATACAATATTGTAGAACTGTCAGATGTTATCTGATTTCATATAAGTAAGCTCTGTACCACATTTTTTTTTAACCTTGTTGATGAAATAACTTTGCTGTATATATGTTTAGTATTTGTTTTTAGAGATAATCTACTTTTTAATTATTTTCTATAACGATGAAAATTTTTGATGTTTTCAGGTTCAGTAATGGCAGTAGCCAGCAATGACAGCACTGTCAAGATGTATGAAATCTCCAATGGCAGAGTGAGTATTGAACCAAATGTTGTATCATTACAGTTTATGTAAGATCTCTTATATTTATAACTTACACTCACTCTTTAGTGTTAGTTTTATTTTTGACTGCCCAATGTTTTGTTGTTTTAGTGTTGTTTTATTTTTGACCGCCCAATGTTTTGTTGTTTTAGTGTTAGTTTTCTTTTGACTGCCCAATGTTTTGTTGTTTTATCATCAAATCTCTAAAGGCAAAAGACCATTAAAGAGCAATTCTTAATCTAAAAATGTGTTAGTGATTGTTCTTTGCTGAATAAAAGAACCAGATAATGGATAACCTTCTGAGCAAGTAATTCAAAGCTAAAGTTTTCATTTATGTTTTTTCATCAAAAACTTTATTTGCAGGTATGTATCAAAATGAAAATAATCAGTGACATATCTTCTCACAGAAACAGAAACAAATCCGATCAAACCTAATAATTGTATCATATACATTATCTAGAGACCTGCATTGTGGATGTAATAAATACTTTTATCCTATTTCTTAGAAATGTGCACGAAATACCCAGACTCATTGCTCACTTACACTCTCTGTTTGTCATTGTTAGGTGAGCCCCCTGATTGGACATGAGGATGCCGTCCAGTGTCTCATATTTGACCGCAGTGGAGAGTATATGGTGTCCGGAGGTAGTGATTGTACTGTCAGAATCTGGTCCTAGGCTACAGGACAGTCTGTCCTTTGAACATTGTGACTGTTGATGAAGAGGTCATCTACATCACAACACACTGTTCTGTCCTTGTTTTATTCTATTTTGACTTCATCCATACTTGCTGCTGATCACATAGTTAACCATAGCTACAAAGACATTTTTGTGTTTTTGATACTTTTACATGTGATACAAGCATTGGTGTAATCGATCCGTAAGGAAGTATATATCACATGTTAAAAAAAATCTGTATCTTCTGTTTGTTTAAGAGATGAGTAGTGATTTGGTCATGATAAATTAATGACAATATTTTAGGTTATATAAGTATAACTGTGGAAACAACTACACAAATATTCACTTGTCAGTACCAACAATATGGAGTTTTATTACAGAAGGAAGTGATTATTTACACTGTTGTACGTACAAGTATAATAGGGTGAAGTTTATCTGTGTATAGATTCTAATACTTATTACATGAAGTTTATGCCAGCCAAATATTTTCATTACTATCTGTTGAAGCCTGTAGAATTGACTGGTAAAGTGATGTACATCAGAATACAGTGCTGATTTGTACTTATTGTGATACTGCTGAAAATGTGATGTTAAAAATAATAAATGTATATATTAAAAATGTTTGAAACTGTTTTACTGTTTTTTTGCTAAGAAAGTGTTTTTTTTCATATTTCATAACATACAAAAGTGTTCATTGGTTCCATAATCCAGAAAGAGTCCATAGTGATATTACAATATATGTATTAATAAGGGCCTCGCATCGGAGATGCAGGTGCCCTATAGTAATCAGGTTGTCCATCCGTCTGTCTTTTTTTTTTTTTTGCATCTGGCATTTCTCAGAGACAACTGCATGTATCTTGATGAAACTACATATACATACATATCTTCACATTACGGAGTGTCACATACTCATTTCGAGTTTCTACAGTGAAAATTTGCAGAGTTATGGCCCTTTGTCACCAAAACTTGTCCAGCCTATAACTTCCATTTTGTTTGAACGACATTCACCAAACTTGCTATATTTATATATCTTGGGAATGCAGAGTGTCACAAACCAATTTCAAGTTTCAACGACAAATATTTGCAGACTTATTGCCCTTTGTCACCAAAACTTGTTTCTTCTAAGTTCTGTGCACAACATCGCATGGTTGTCGAGGATAATGTAAAAATGCTTACCACTTGACTCTGACAGATTAAAAGGATTGTAACACTCAACTGAAGCTGACTATTAGGGTCAAACACATAGAGGGGCCCTTTCTGACTTGTTAGTGTTCTAGTTATTTTTAATGTTTCATTGAAACAATTGCCACTGAATCAAACAAACACCTAAATCATCATGCTACCATCTAGTTTATCTGAAACTAATCCATTCCACATATCTTTCGACTTTTTTCCTTCTGGAAGAATTTTACAAATTAACATGATTTATATGAAATGATCTATTGACTTTTGTCAAGATAACCATTCTTGTCCAAAGACATGAACACTGTTGCTGTCCATTGACTTGTTAACTTACTTTTAGTTAACCTGCTACACTAGCCAGAATATGTTCACACATTGATGCAATGTTTGTTTTTATTCAATACTACAACATTGACTATTTTAAAAAATGGAAGGTACAAAAATGAAGTGATTCTTTGCTCAGTAGTGTACTATGTGGTTGGTTTTGTTGTTGCCACAACAGTTCTTCAAGAAGGTAACATTGTGTTTAGTTGACCTCGATGAAGTGACGGTCCTGTCAATGAAGCATCAGTGCCTTACTCATATTGGGGAAAGGTCCATTTTGTTTTTTTCAATGGCCTCCATGTAAATTTCTCTTTTGTCTGAAATTTACTTTCTTTTCATCGACTTTGAGATACAGTTTCTCCCTAAAACTTCAATATGCCATGTTTATAAAGTTTGGAATGTCAGTAAGTACATTTGCCACATTTCACAGTTTACATACAACAGCATTAAATATGACCTGGGTCACCTCGTATAGTACGGATGGTTTCTGTCTTCACAAGTCCCTGTGGTAAGTGAGTTGATGTACATATCATAATTGATTTTGTTGATTGTTCTGGGGTGTATGACGGCGTCAACAGCCAGGGTCATATTCTATAGCGGAGTCTCCTTGTAGTAGCTGGTGGCTACCTCAGTGAACAGCATACTGAAGGCAATCCAGAGTACTAAGGGTAAAGTGTCTTCAAAATGACACAACTACGTCAGCAGTTTCACAACTTCCTTGGAAGCATAAACTGCAATGGGTATACACTTCTGAGGTTACCTGTACATTGATTAACAATCTGTACGTTTCACGTGTGAATGATCCTTGAAAAGTAACACTGTTTATATCACAACTAACACATGAACAGATGACGGGTTGATTTTAATCAGAAATGAAGTTTTCTCTGTATATGTCATAGATTTATTTTATTAAGTAACACACAATGTATGAACGAAAACTATTCTTAGTAAAATATTTACACGTACATGTAACTAATCGAATGATATGAACGATGTCCCTGTTTCCTGCTTTAGAAAGTAAGTTATCGATTTGCATACCTTAAGCCAGCATATATCCTTCGCCACTCTGCTCAAATCGCCGACAGAGTAATACTGATCACGTTTAATTAGGTCAAGTGTTTTCTCCACTTAACCATAGAAATGTGAACATATTCACAAGATTGCTACATGTCAGACATAGAGTTATTGTTTTTGAATGACACCAACTTTAAATTATCACCATTGAAATATAGGTTAACATAATCAGTCACAGGAATAATTCGAGTAACATACATGTATGTCAGAAATGTCAGGAACGTGCATGTCTTTATGTATCCGAAATGTTGGACATATCTTCAGCAATATTTTTGATCTGAATGCTGATTAAATGTTGCGGAATTCTGACTACCTTTTATCAAAACTTAATGATGAAAATTCCTAGAAATAGATGTACAACTGTATTGAATCTACCTGTAAGTAGCTATCAATACCTGTTCAATGATGTAGAGTCATAATATTAAAGATGTATTAACATTATAATTTTCACCAGTTTTCCCTCACGGTTCTTCTTGGAGAACGAAATACGTGATTATCAAATACTTTATTAAATTTTATTACAAATAGATATTTGAATCTGAAGTTGACAACTAATATGAAATGAACGTAAAATCAGATGTAAGTATATACTGTGTGAATACGAATTTCTCCATTCCTTAAGAAATTATTCAAACGATCTAGATAATAATGGCAAAAATAAAAATTTGAAATATTACGTTAAAAGAGAATGTAGAGTTTTTACATTATCATGAAGGTTATGTTTTTGTTTTGTTGAAATTGATTGTCAACAACAACAAAGTTCCATTCTAGTGTATGTGAAAGTAAATTTTCAATCCTAGGTAAGATCCATAACGATGAAATCTCACAAGAAATGGGTTATTAGGTCATCCCGGATTAACGATGACGTCACATAATTATCATGATTTGTGAACAAAAATAAAACTTTTTTTATCAAAGTATGCCTTTGGCTTTAACTCACTGATAATTTCAAAAGTTTTAAATTTGAACTTGATTTTTTACATGAAAGTATGAATTGCGGATTTACAGTTATTTTCACGGTTTTGTATGAATCAGGCCGCCATCAAAAACGATATTTTCTCTTGATGTGGATATCACTCATCATCTTTCCCGTCTTGGCGAATTCTCAAGATAAATAGCGCGCGAATGTGCATGTGTCAATGCATGGTCTTGTGACTTGACGTGCCTATTTGTATCTTACAACTAGTCACGTCACAAGACGTGCATTGCGAGAAAATTCGTCTTTAAAAGTTTCCTTGCTTTCAATGAAAACGATAATAACTAATGATTTCCCGATAAAAGGCCAATTCTCGTGTTACTTTGGTGTCATTGAACGCTGTCTGCCAAGTGTCGATTACATGGCGATGGGAACAAAGAAAAAATGCTCTTTGTTGTCAATACCTCAATATGAAGAAGCGAAAGAACAATTAAGGGTGTTGCCATGTGGTGTTTGTATTAATGCCATATGTTGTATTTAACAATGACACTCTGTTGTAGGTCGATATATATTTAATATATTCCATTCTATGTTATAAAAGGCAAAAATTCACATGTGTTGCAAAAGTAGATATTTAATCTAGATGTTTATTAATCTAGATAGTATATACACAGAACTTCAAATGTGTTTCGATCTTCAATAACGTCTGTACAGAACTCGAAATAAATAGTTTTCTCAGCACGTCAGCATTTTAATTCCTTTTGTAAAAAGAACCCCGATATTTTCATCATGGTTTTGTGACATTTTAGTAGCTACAAGTTCATATATGTTATTGAATAATTCAATCAATGTACAAATAAACATCCTTGACTGTTTTTAAACAAACTCTACTGTTATTTTATGTTAATTGTCCATTACAAAACTTGAAAGAGCGTCACAAATAGGTTTATTTTTTGTGTTTGCCTGCGATAAAGATATCTTTTCTCTCGTCATACTTAGATATATTTTTAAGGTCGTTTCCTACGTTAACATGCTCCTGTCGGATTTTACTATCTTATTCTAGACAATGATAAATGTGTAGTTATCATACGTAGCATATATTTGTGTATGTATGTCATATGTATGACAAAGACATGAGGCTATGATCCTTTCTACATGTCAAACACCCAGAGGTTTTTCCCGCCTTAATTCTAGAATATCATTTTCATCCCTCCCAAAGACAAACATTGAAATTTCTTCTTTTGGCATTATCATAATAGGCGGGTCATAACCACGTAGGTAACGACAGCGTCTGACGTCATCCCATATGACGTCAGATTCCGACATTTCTAATGTTTCTTTATCACTGTCCGTTGAACTTTTATCGTCATCTATTAAATCCTTGATGAAATTACATTGGTACTTATCATTTTCCGAGAATCGTCGCACAATCACGTGTTTCTTAAAGCCAGGAAGCGTTTCTTCTGGTATGATATAGTCTCTCTTGAAGTTGAGAGTCAATTTTTCTCCCACGATCACCGGTTCCGAGCATCGTCGTTGTATAATGTTAGTATCGTTTTCTAAATCCTGTTTTGTAAGTTGTTTCTCTTTCCGTTTTAGACTTAGTCCTTCTACACACGGGTCAATTTTTTCTCCGTCTTTCAAATCAGTCATTGCGACAACCCCTGAGTCGGGGCCACTTTCCATTTTAGCGTCGTCTATATTTGGATACGGTTTATTTGCCATAACATTGAACATAACAGCTTCTTCCTCATTTCTTATATGATGATCAGTTATGCTAGTGTTATTTCCTTCTGAGTCAGATTCTATCTTATCTTCTTTTACGTCCTCACAATTCTTATCCTTCGAAACGGAATCAAGTGCATTTCGTTTCGATGCGCCTTTAATTGCGCGTGATCCTTCTCGTGGTCTTCGCTTGCTAGAGCGATGAGATAATCCTCTTGGATACGTGACGTCACGAGAATATGATTTCTTTAGTCTGGATTCTTGAGGACGCCTGATGCCAGCTTCTTTATGACATGTAGCTTTATTTATATTCCGAGTCTGCTCAGCTATAATCAAAGCTGTCCGCATGTCTTCTAGTATGGTTCCGACCGGAGGTTCTGGACAACCCGGTCGGTCAACATCCCAGATATCCGAATCTGTGGTGTCCTCTCGTACCAAATGGTGGCTTTGGCCTTGTTTGGAACCGATAGAACTGACAAGACTATCCCGTCGCTGTCGTAGCTGATCCTGTAAATATTCCTGATCTGTTCTCTTTCTTTTAAATCGGTCTATCATGTCGGTGAGGCTGGTGGGATCAGCCGATTGCCTATGGGAGAATCGACGGGACTGGCTATGTCGTGTAGACTCTATAAAAATATACCGGCATAGTAAATTAAATCTGAGTTCCTACTGCCTTTATAAGTAATCATCACTGACACCTTTAAAAAAGATGTTCCTATCCTAGACATAAATGGTTAAGGATTATACAGGTGTAACAAAAAACTTATTTTTTTGATAAAACAAATAATGTATAATGTTGATCTTTAATATGTAGTTGCCAAGTCAAGCACATGTTTGTAATATATGTTGTAATTAAACTAATAATTTATAAAAGAGTACTTTCAGTGATTGACCTATCACCCTTCCACTCAACCTTCACCTTCATTTACACTTGTACCTTACCTGCCGGTTTAGATGCCCGAATGTTCCGGAGCTCCTTTTGAAGTTCACGCTGTCGGTAACGATAATCCGCCTGGAACATCGTCTTCTCCTTGTCAAGTTCTCCCAAACGTCGGGTTAGCGCATGTTCTGTGATAGCAGCATTCGGAACCCAAAAGTTACCCTCAGCTTTGCTCATTGATTTGAGTCGTGGTTCCAACCTGTAAATTGTTCTTCCTTGCATTGTAGTGAGATACAATGCCGTAACAAATTTCCACCGTATTTGTATTTACACTGGAAATTAAATGAAAATTGAATCATACATACCAAGTAGATCCAAATAAAAAGGTCACAAAAACCAATTTTATGAAACAAAACATATTCATCGAAGGCAGCAAGTCTACAATAATTTTAAAAATCTTACATGTTTACTTTTCATTCAAATACATCGGTAATAAATGCGACAGATTTCAGGAAAAATCATGATACTGACCAATTTTCTTCAAAACATTTAGTTCATGCTCCATCGATGAAGTTAAGGTATATTGTAACGTCGTAAATGTTATCAAAATCAGGGAAACGTCTAGTTTTATAGGTCCACAGCCGTTGCGTATAGTAACCATTCACTGACAAAACATCCAAGTAACTTTCGGTACCACAACGGAGGTGATTTGTTGACGAAAACAAACAGCTTAGGTTCACCTGTACATTCATCAGGTGTTTATAGGTATTACTAGGGCGGCAAAGTATGCTTTTATCACCTCAAAGTCTTAACTGTGGCTACTTGTCACCAAGCTCATACAATACGCCATAACCTCAGTGTCAACCTCACATATGCTTCACTGACTCGATAAATATGTATAAAATAACATAAATGTAGACATAAAATGAAATAAGAAGGATTAAGTAGTTTGATTTGTTGCGATTTAATCGTCATCGATTAGAGGACAGCCACACAATTTGTAAATGTCACTCGGCATTTAATGGGTAATGACTCTTTCGGTATTGAGATTCTATGACGCATACAAACATTTTATATATATGGTTGGAATCGTTGAATCATACTTCGAAAATGTGATTTTTTATTGTAAATAGTTTGTTTAAGTCTTTGACTAACAAATTATTATTCCATATGTATCTAAAATGTTTGTACTACAAAAGCAACATGTATATACACATAAGATGTACGTTTCGTGTATGCATCACTTCACTGGTCAGGATATATCAAACGTCTTCAATATCACACTCATGCATAGTTCATGAGGTTTTACTGCCGTTTGTTTGTACATATCGTAAAGGGTAAAGTGTGTTTGTCTTAAAGCCACTGAAATCTTAATGAATCACACAGTAATACATCTTTTTTCACTGAAGGGATTCAGCAAAGCAATATTCATTCCATTCATCAAAAAATCTGTTTATCAGTTTCACGGTAGTCATAATGATCATATTACTAAATGTTCTATTTTCTTGTGCGATATAAAGAGTGACGTGTGGCATCTTTAGTATGCCCAGTGGTTCGGTTCTTATCTACCCTGTTCTTATTTGATAACGTGACATTTTCTGGTACATGTGCAGCATGTCTTCGTATTTAAATATGACGAAAAGAATTTGAAACATCTTTATAGTTAATTAACGGCAATGCTTTTGAATCTACCTCGGATATGGAAGAGTTTTGGCTGCACTGATGTATGTCACGAAGGGATTAATTTCTATCATTAAAACAATACAAATAGTTAGATGTTCCCGATGGCTAATTAATTAGATCAAAGTTGATACTTAAAATGCCTGGTGCTTGATAGCTAGTGCCTACAATTGCTAATAAATGTAAATTCACATCAATAACGATATTTCTCCCTATAGCATGGAGGAAATAAGTCATAGAGGAGGTACGAAAATGATCGATGGTTTAATTCCACTTCAGTGAGAATGGTGAAACATGTTACCACATCACTTATTTACAACATTATTCATACTTAATGACATCCAGGAGGGATAACATAAACCTCAATACTCGAGGTGAAAATACCTGGGAATCAGGTGTCAGAGGACATTTGCAATATTTATATACAGTAATATATCGTAAATGCTCTACTTCAAAATATGATGTTTATGTTCGGATCATTTGACAAAGAGACATAGCTATTGGCAGAACGATCTAGATAGAACATTTATCTCAATAACATTTTCTTGGGATTAAGGGATATTTATATTTAACGTATAAATGTGTATGAAAAGGATAGCAATGTGTGTATTTAATGACATCCAGAGAGAAGAGAAAACAAATCTAAGCGCACTGAGTTTGAAACGGGCCTGGAAATCATAGAATACACACAGCCTCATTCTGTAAGCACGTGGACGGTACTGTAAATAAAACTAATAAAATACTGAGAACCATGAGATGAACCGATTACAAATAGCTAATGTCTGTAGAACGTATAGGAGATATGATGCTTACACATGTAGATTTATAACAAAAATATTGAGAAGTATTGGGATTTAGAGGATTCGGTAAAACAAATGTATAGACTCGTATAAAGAAACAAAACAGGAAAACTAACGCACGCCAAAAGTAACCACTAAAACTTCAGAGAATGAAATTTACTGTGATACAAAGTACTTGCATGTAATCGATAAACTTACTTTGATAAGAAGTGATCTCAATCACTTCATAGACAGATGTATTGTACAACTTCATCTTTCAGAGCAGTTTTTAAGATGATATTTAGAAGCTGTTGTAAGGAATATTTAACTTGACAAAAATAGATTAAACATCAAAAATCAATTACTTCTGTAGATTATGCGATCTCTCACGTCATCAGCATTTTTTCACATAAAACCAGTCTGCGTATTCAACATGAGACATCAAAAACTGAGTTCACCATACTATATCCGTTATGTTCGGTCTCCTGTGGATGAGTTAATAACAATATGTGACGTCATCGTCCGGTACAGGTGTCAGACTGCATTCTCACAACTGCTCTATGAAAATGTCCTACAGAGATAATGGCAACTTGGTTGATACTTCTGGAGGAAACAATTAGAGAAAAATAAAACTAAGTAGTCATGGCTATTCAGAGATTCTTGTACAAAGATGTTTTATTTATAGATTGAAGGATATACATGTACTACCAATATCTAGTTTATGTGAATAGTCATGCATGAAAATATATATTAAGTGACGAGACTATACTTGTTAATGTTGGAAGTATGTAGTAATTTCTTATTAATGCATAATTTATAACAATATTTATGGATTAAGATATAACATACTGCTGAGTTGGATGTGTCCATATGACTGGTTTAGGCACGGAGCAGTATTTCCGCTTTTTCATTCCAGTAGGTAAGTGACTTTTAAACCACGATAATTTTTCTTTATAAGGCGGATCGTCAATGTAACCATTATCATTATTTTGATTAACACATTATCATACAAGTGTTCATTTCATGTACATGTACCATCTGTTTATAAATAGGTAAATGTATACACTGGAACACGTGCAGTATCAGGTGATGATATTCAGAACATAATTCTTCACAGGGGATTCATCTCTATAAGAAATAAAAGACCTATGATGTAAATACATTCACCAATTTAAAGTGTTTTTTTTAATTAATGATTTCGAACAAAGATAATAAAGATAGCTGTTGTTAAATGAAATTTATAACGATTGAGAAAAGATAAAATAAGTCCAGATTCCTTAAACATAACTATTTGTTGTTCAAAATATAACTATCAATAAAAAGAGGCGCCGGGATTGCCTCTTCTCTAAACACACTAATGATCTAAATACTGCCTTTACCTGACACCTACAGGTATAAGATTGAACAACTAAGATACGAGGTTCAAAACATCATCTGTTAAATAATTAGATTTTATTGGGTGTATCCTAATTGAATTTGTGGCCACCCGTAATCCATGAATTCCTATGTTCACGAAACACACATGCCTTTTTAGTACTAGAGGATTTCGTGAGAAAACATCTATGCACGGAATTAGGTGGCAATTGCTTTTTTTTCAATCTTTCGTAAAATCACGAAATTTGATCCTCACGAAAATATATGTTTTGCCAGTACCTGTGAAGGGCACTTGATCAGATACACAGATTGAAAAAAAAAAGAAAAAACGAAAGTGAAAAATAATGAAATAACATATAAGTCTATATATATATCATTACGCCAATGATTAATCAAAGATTTTTGTTTACAATATTTTTGTTTGTTAATAAGATGCGCTCGAATGACAACAGTATTTTTTACCGCTAGGTTTGTTCAATAGTGAATTATCATCCGAGGAGAATGACTTGGAAGGCAACTGAAGAATGACCAGCTACTGCTGTTAACGTAGTTCGGATAAATAACATAGTGCAGATACATGTATTACAGCGAGCGTTAAAGAATGTAAAATGAGTTATTACATTTTTCACGGAAGCTGAATGCATTATCTCATGTTTTTAAGTATTACTTATGTATGAACAGATAGCTACACCGAACAATAACTTGTTTTTGTCACGAATGGAGCGTTTCTGAAGAATGTGTATATTATATGCTAACAGTAATACCGTCCACATGTAGGAATTTGACACAGTTTAGTTTTCCAGTGGGTTACTACATACATATAGCAAGGTAATATGTATATAACATCGTGATAACCCACAGCAGTGCATGTAATTACTACTCTGATTACTGGTGTGTGACTCAGGGCTTCGATTTTCCCTTTTTGTTGCATTGATTGCATTTAATGAGGAAATGTTATTAAAGCGTTATACATAATCTACACGTTCACATACATTGATCGGTAAAGACCTGATACTTTCATAAGATTGGTTCCGTTACACACTGATATCACTAAGGATTCAGCCCACTCGAATCCAGATACTAGGCATCTAGGTAACATTAAAAAGGATGAACATGTGTGGTCGTGTGATTATTGGTATATAACCATTCTAGCTATAGATGCAAATCAGCATTTTATCTTAGGATCAAATGATTTGTATCAAAACGAAAGTATTTTCTGATCAAACATTGGAATACATGAATTACGAGTATTGGGATATATATGCACTGTTATATGGACATATGCCTTATCATTAAAAATAATTCGATTTTATATTTTGACTTTATAATTTCGATACACTGCGAACCGCTATTTACCATCTTTTAACATACTGTAACCGACATGCGCTTCAATACCTCACACACATCACACGGATTGTAGATGCTTGGCTGTCTGAAGAATATTAATCT